AGAGTTAATATTATTATGGCTTGAAATTGAAAAATAATGGGTTTCATATCCAAATATTCGAGAAATAAAAATAATAATAGTAAAGTTCTTTAAATACATATTAACTATAGAATGCAAAGATTTATTTCAAATAGATGTCGAGATCGTAGAACAAAGATATCTGCGAAATTCTGAATTGGAATTAGAAAGTTAATAATAATGTATTCAAAATACTTTATAGATTTATATGAATTGTGTTAAAATATTGTGAAAGTGGCTTCGATTATGAATCAAATAGTTTAGAGAGTGACCAAATCTAGCTCAGTGCCCAGGTCCAGATTCGACCAGCCCAATGCATTGCTCATCAGACTAAGCAACTGTTGCAGAGGCACGCCCACCTTTAGCAGGTCGTCTCGCAACGCTCGATACTCTGGCAGGGCGCGCAAGTTGATGAGCAGGCGACGGAACTCACGGCTGCGTATGTGACGCACAGCCGTGACCAGCTCCTTGTCGGAGGCCAATTGGCGCCTATAGAGATCCCGGAGCACCGCACGCGGCAGTGCATCGCGCAGATCCAGCAGCAAGCCACGAATACCCTTGCGACGATTGGGCAGTGGGCTGCTGGGCGTCTCGGACAGCTGGGCATTGAAGAGCATGCGCACGTACTCCATGTAGTAGCCATAGTTGAGCTTCAAGGTGCGGCACAAGAAATCCTTTTGGTCGATTTTCTCCTTGATCTGATTCAGGCGCACCACACGCTCCTGGAACTGCTCGCTGCGCAGCAGCTTGACCAGCGCTCGCACCTCCGGATCCTCCCGGGCATTGGCCAATATATTGCGCAATCGATCCGCTGGCAGCAGCGGACGAGCGTTGCGTATGAGAGCAGTCAAGCCCCGTTCGTTATCAATGGGGCATTCGTTGCCTGCCTTGATCTCTTCAACTGGCGTGGGCGTCACTGGCTCCTCCTGCGCCACTGATTCTTGCTGCGTCACTGGCTCCTCCTGCAGCAGTGATTCTTTCTCTGTCACTGACTCTTCCTGCTCCACCGCCCTCGCCTGCCTGCTCTGAGGCTCGTCAGTGGCCAGCCAATTGATTTTATGCGCCATCATCAAATCTCTTTCCTGAGCACTCGGCTCGCCGAGCTCGGGCATCGGAAAGCCAGCGGGAAACTCAAAGGAATCAACCGTTGTGAAAGTTTCCTCTGGCTCCCATGAGATGGCAGCCACTAGCAGCAGAGAGCAACTGATTTGTATGAGCAGCCGATACATCTTGATAACAATGGGAATACTGTGCCATTGCCAAAATGCTGATGCACTTTTTATATAACCAGCAGCAGCAGCAACAGCAGCAGCAGCAACTGAATCACAGCCTGGTGCTAACTTATCTTAGCTGTTGACTCAATACACTCTGATATTTGCCCAACATCTTTGCAGGCAAACAAGAGAAGCATCAGAACAAAAAGTGGAATAACCTTCAGACGAGGCTCATCAATCTTGCATATAGTATACGAATTCCACAAATAACCACAGCAATCCACAAATATCAGCAGCAGGGCCAGCAATCATTTGAAAATTTATTGTTATACCCTATATAGTCCATTAAGAAAGGGTTGCCTTAGCTGGCAGAACTCTTCTTATTACCCACAGGGCATCCCGTTCTTCCCAAAGTTATTAAATTTATGTCTGCCAAATGCGTAAAGCTCCTTTTACTGTCTATAAAAATGGAAAAACATAACATTTTCCCAGCACTTTCTTTTTCTCTTATATTAAAGCGTATTTTTACAATTTTCTTGTGAAAATCCATGCAGAAATTATGAAATTCAAAAGTGATTTTGTGTGGGCTTTTCATAGAACAAAATATGATTGATTGATTCTATAAAAATTGAATTATACTTGAATTATATTTATTGAGAATCAAGCGCACCTGAATAATTGAAAATAGCCTCACACTTTAAATGTCAATGTATACGAGGGTTATTTGATAAATCACTTACCTCCCGGGAGAACTAGAAAAAAAACGAGATAATTTAAATTAATATTGAGTGAATAATAGGCGAATTAAGCAAGCAAATTTAAGCAATCAAATAAATTTAAATTCATAATTATTATTT